TGGTAAGCCATTTTGGCCCCGCCCTAACCCCGGGGGTCATGATTTGAACAAACTTGCATCTACACTACCTGAGGATGCTTCCATATAAATATGATGAATTATGGCTTTGTCATTCTTGAGAAGATTTTTTAAGAATTTTCCTATATATTTCCATGTAAAACGTTGGTCGGCCATTTTGGCCCCGCCCTACCCCGAGGGTCATGATTTGAAAAAAAAAGTTAATCTACACTACCTGAGCATGTTTCCCCATAAGTTTCATCTTTCCTGGCACAGTGGTTCTAGAGAAGAAGATTTTTTAAATATGCCACCATATTTTCATTAATTCCCAATTATCTCCCCTTGAATGAGGGTTCGGCCCTTCATTTGTACATACTTGAATCCCCTTCACCCAAGGATACTTTGTGGCAAGTTTGGTTGAAATTTGCCCAGTGGTTCTTGAGAAGAAGTCGAAAAGGTGAAAACTTTACAGACAGCTAGACAGACAGACGGACAGACAGACGGACGCCGGATAAAATGTGATCAGAAAAGCTTACTTGAGCTTTCAGCTCAGGTGAGCTAAAAATGGGTGTGTCGGACTGTGTCCTTGTACAAAAGAGGAAAATGTATGTCAAGATGGATATGGAGATAATGAACAGTATTCAATCTTAAAATCCATAAAACAATACAAATTGAGAGCAGAGCAAACAAAGCCCTTGAAGCTTCGGAAGTGGGATCAGGTGCCATGGATTAGTTTTAATATCACGTGACAATGCTGACCAGTCAAGAATAAATAATTTCTGACTTGCTACAAAATCAGCTATCTGTTCAATCACCTCCAAGATTTATGTCAGTAGGAGCATCTGAAGCAAATCTGGTAGTGTAAATCCTTAAATGTTTAAAAGCCTGGTTTTTGAAACAATCCATCTTAGTAGTCAAATTGGGCAATTTTAAGGTACTTGTTTACTCAGAAGGAAAAAAAATCTACTGATAATAATTAAAACTCGTCTATTAAATCAGCAAGACACACGTATGTATTGACAAAATCTACTTTAAAACATGTAGGTCAATGACCTACTTTTTACTATTAGCCAATGAAATCAAAGCATAAATTCACCATTGTAAATATGGATTTTTCAATATTTAACAAAAATTTTTCTTGCGAGCATGAAATTGAAACATTCTACCATATTGATTTATTAATCAAGGTGTTATCTTAAAAAAATAACAACAAAACTATTACAGAAATCAATCACGTTTTTATTTTCTGTAACCCGAATTTCCTCTGTTCCATGACATTTTATGCATGTAAATAAACCTTTATTCATTCAAATATTCTAAAAAAAATTAGGCTGATGATAACTCTTATTGGTTGTTTTATACAAACAGAGAACATCTTATAAGAAATAAAAATTAATCACAAAGTTGGTGTCAATGATCAAAATTTTGAGATATTTTGTTACAAAAAACCTGAATTTCCTCTGTTTCATGACATTTTATGCAAATAAATAAACCTTTTTTCATTCAAATATTCTTAAAATTTGGCTGATGATAACTCCTATTGGTTGTTTTATACATACAGAGAACATCTTCTAAGAAATAAAAATTAATCACAAAGTTGGTGTCAATGATCAAAATTTTGAGATATTTTGTTACAAAAAACCTGAATTTCCTCTGTTTCATGACATTTTATGCAAATAAATAAACCATTTTTCATTCAAATATTCTTAAAATTTGGCTGATGATAACTCTTATTGGTTGTTTTATACATACAGAGAACATCTTCTAAGAAACAAGAGGCCCAAGGGCCTTGAATCGCTCTTCTGATAAATTGTACAACCTATCAATTGTATTTGAAGCCTCTAACCCTAAGTATCCTACGACCAAAGTTGCACCAACTGACAAAGTTTGATGATTCTTAGCCAATAAGGACTACTTCTTGGTCTACATTCTTGGAAAACCCCAAATGCATCAACTTACACAGTATGATTATTCTAAGCCATTAATACCTAAGATACTTAAATATGGCCATAAAAAGTTGAAATTAGGTCACTGTAACCTACTTTTTGGTCGACATTCTCCGAAAACCCAAAATGCATCAAATGACAAAGTTTGATGATTCTAAGCCAATAAGTACCAGAGATACTTAGATATAGCCATAAAATGTTGAAAGTAGGTCACCATGACCTACATTTTAGTCTACATTTTTCAGAGTCCAAAGATGCATCTGCTGACTAAGTTTGATGATTCTAAGCCAATAAATACCCAAGATACTTAAATATAGACATAAAATGTCGAAAGTAGGTCACCGTGACCTAATTTTTGGTCATCACTCTCCAAAAAACCCAAGATGCATCAACTGACAAAGTTTGATGATTCTAAGCCAATAAGTACCGGAGATACTTAAATATAGCCATAAAATGTCAAAAGTAGGTCACCGTGACCTAATTTTTAGTTTTCACTCTCCGAAAACCCAAGATGCATCAACTCACAAAGTTTGATGATTCTAAGCCAATAAATACCTAAGATACTTTAATATAGCCATAAAATGTCAAAAGTAGGTCACTATGACCTAATTTTTGGTCATCACTCTCCGAAAACCCGAGATGCATCAATTGACAAAGTTTGATGATTCTAAGCCAATTTGTACAGGAAATACTTAAATATAGCCATAAATGTCAAAATTAGGTCACCATGACCTAATTTTTGGTCGTCACTCTCCAAAAACCCAAGATGCATCAACTCACAAAATTTGATGATTCTAAGCCAATAAATACCCAAGATACTTAAATATAGCCATGAAATGTCGAAATTAGGTCACCGTGACCTAATTTTTGGTCGTCACTCTCCAAAAACCCAAGATGCATCAACTGACAAATTTTGATGATTCTAAGCCAATAAGTACCGGAGATACTTAAATATAGCCATAAAATGTCAAAAGTAGGTCACCGTGACCTAATTTTTAGTTGTCACTCTCCGAAAACCCAAGATGCATCAACTGACAAAGTTTGATGATTCTAAGCCAATAAATACCTAAGATACTTTAATATAGCCATAAAATGTCGAAAGTAGGTCACCGTGACCTACATTTTGGTCGACATTTTTCAGAGTCCCAAGATGCATCTCCTGACCAAGTTTGATGATTGTAGGTCTGAAGGTAATCAAAAAATGCCTTTTAAACAATTTGAAAACATATGCCTGCAAAATTCTAAAAGTAGGTCACAGTGACCTACTTTTTCTTAAATATGTTTTAAGGTCCCAAGATGCAGCAACTTACAAGATTTGATGATTCTAACCCTTTCAGTGCCTGAAATAATTGGATTTAATGTTTTAAAAAGGTTAAGTCATAAAGTTCAAAAAGTAGGTCACGTTGACCTACTTTTAGGTTGGCGTTGTTCAAGGACCCAAGATGCATCAACTGACTAAGTTTCATGATCATAGGCCTTAAAGTGTCAAAAATATGCCTACAAATCAATTTGAAAACAAATGCCCGCAAAATTTAAAAAGTAGGTCACCGTGACCTACTTTTGAGTTAAAATGATGTGAAGTCCTAAGATGCATCAACTTACAAGATTTGATGATCCTAGCCCGTATAGTAAGCAAAATATTAACATTTTTATTAATTGTAAATTTAGGTCAACTTCAAAGTGACCTTGAGGCCACGCCCTTTGCCCCAGGGTCATGCCTTGAACAATTTTTAATCTTCAACATATCCTGATTCTTGTATGTAAGTTTGGTGAAAATCTGCCTGGCGGTTCTGGAGAAGAAGATTTTTCAGCAACTAGTACTTTTGGTTTTGTTTTCCTGATTATCTCCCCTTGTTTTAGGGTCCCAACCCTTATTTTAGTATAAATGGTAGCCCTTGGTCCAAGTTTACCCCGTGGCAAATTTGGTACTGATTGGCCAAGGGGTTCTTGAGTTATGGCCCATATTCTAAAACGTTAACGCACACCGCACACTGCACAAATGGCCATAGCATTAGCTCTTTGAGCCTTTGGCTCAGAAGAGCTAATAAAAATTAATCATAAAGTTGGTGGCAATGATAAAAATTTTGAGATATTTTGTTACAAATAACCTGAATTTCCTCTGTTTCATGACATTTTATGCAAATAAATAAACCTTTTTTCATTCAAATATTCTAAAAATTTGGCTGATGATAACTCTTATTGGTTGTTTTATACATACAGAGAACATCTTCTAAGAAATAAAAATTAATCACAAAGTGTGTGTCAATGACCAACATTCTGAGATATATTTTGTAACAAATAACCTGAATTTCCTCCGTTTCATAACATTTTATGCAAATAAACCTTTTTCCATTCAAATATTAAAAAAAATTTGGCTGATGATAACTCTTATTAATTGTTTTATAAATACAGAAATCACCTTGAAATAAGTAAAAATAAATAAAAAGTGGGTGTCAATGATCAAAATTTTGAGATATTTTATTACAATTAATCTGAATTTCCTCTGTTATTTTTCAATTTCAAGTGATATTCCATTATTTCTCCTTATAATGTGTAATAAAAAGAAGTTGAATTGTTTGACAAAATCTTTTCATGTCAACTCGGTGTGATTTTTTGAACTTCAAAAATAGTTTATGGACATTGTTCTAGGAAAGTAAGGGAAACAAATTAAATTACAATCCCTTGTCCCATATTCTACACATTCTCGATTTAAATCATAGCAAAACCAAAAGATCATACAAAATTCTGCAATACACATGCAGTGTATGAAAAAAAAAAACAGTACACTCAATATAATTTAAAATGAATTTTTGAATCATTTAGTTAAAATAAATTAAATTTACATGCAATAAATGTAATGATTAATAAATCAGAAATGAATTAATGCATGAACAAAGTAAAAGATAGAATGTACTATTTCTTATATGACTCAACATCATCCATTTCAAGGCAAAACTAATGATCAACTTCTTTCATGAATTTTGCACAATATGACCTCAATGTTTGTGAGCAAAGTACAAGAAGCAAAACTCCAGAGAATATACATCTAGTGATCATTTAACTTTTGTTTGAAGACATGAAAACCTGGGTAACAATATCAATAATTTTCTTGCACTTCGTAACTCTGACAGATTTGTTGTCACACAGCTCAGTGAATAGATTATAAATGCCATCAGGACTTCTAGAATGTGCTAATCTGAGACAATCAAAGTTTAGGCCACTACCTGCCACCTTCTTTGCCATTCTGACACTCAAAACATTTTTATCAATCAAACCTTGTAAGGATGGAATGTTTCTATCTACAACCTTCTGGTAGTTATGAACACTCAAAGCATACTGAAATGTAAATGTACAAGATGAATGTTCGCCATCACAAAAATGAACAGTGTCAAATAACCTCTGCAAAACTAAAACATCCTCTACAGCATTATGCGCATTGTAAGTACATTTTAGCAGCACTTCTGATAAATATTGCTGGCTATATGAACACAAATTTGGATGGACAAGTTTGAATAGAAATCTAGTATCTAAAAAAACTTGTACACATTTTGACATTCGATCCAACAGCGAACAAGAATTTAGAGCTTGAAAAAGAACATGAACATCAAAACTTTTGATATTGTGGCCAACTAAAAAAACATTGCCTTGCTTCTCAATAAAGCTTAAAAAAGAGCCAAGTGCATTGGAAATTGAAACAGCATTGACTCTTCTCTCATGGTGATAGAGGGTTCCATTATCCAGCTTTAGGCCGGTAATCGTGGAGGCAGAGGGTGTAATTGGCTTCTTAGACATTACATAGGAAGAAAATGTCTCCTTCCCACAAATGGCAGCCACCTGTAGAATGTGTGATGTTCTCGCTGAAATAAAAAAAACATTTATTACAAAAAAACCTACCAAAATCTACAATAGCATTCATTATCTTTTTAATTTTTGTACCAAAACCAGCATTGGCTTTCTTTCATATTTTATAAATTAGATTAGACAACTTTTTTTTTAAGTTTTCCATAAAACCAATTGTACAAATTTAGTTTAGAGAAATAAAATTCATCAATACCAAGTCCTGTTGTTTCCAGGTCAAAAAAGACAAATTCTTTGTCTTTGATTGACAAACTCTGCTGTTGAGGTTCAGATGAGGGTGGTGGAATTTCATCAACTACAACAGTGGAATCAGAGATTCCAACCCCAGACTGATATGTTGGGCCCTCTCTTATCTCTTTACATACTGTGGTCTGGACTCTGCAAAGACAATACAATTTTAAAAATTCATAACTGAACAACTAGTATTTGAACCCTCAAAACAAAATTAATTTTCAAAACTTAACAAAATGAGCAAAGTTAAAATATTTGAGTATGCATGAAATGCACAACCAATTCTGTCCTGTCAACATTTAATACTATCGTTATGAATACCTTACAAAATTAAGAAAAAGCTCCAGGTATATGACAAACAGCGGAGTCCAACACAATCAAACCCCACAAAGAGGTTGGAGGTGGAGGTGGAGTACGTAAATCTGTATACAGGGTTATTTTTTGCCGTTTTGCACTTGCAAATAATTTTGCTCCATTTTAAATTCAACCAGTCATAGTTCGGTTTTAGAAATTATGCTGTGTAATTTGAAATCACCCCGTTTTAAATTCGGCCAATGAAGAAGAGGGCGAAAGGGGTGAAAATACAATGAGCCAAAATTTCCCTGTATACATAACTTATAATAAACACTGTGCCGGATAATTATGCCACTTCAAAAGTGGCATTTTGGCGCCCGCCAAATATTCAATTTTCAGCAAAATGAAAGATGTCATCTGAAAGACCTTGATGTGTAGACTTCATATCCACCTTTTGTTATTGTGTATCTCACCTGTCAGGTGAGATACTCACCTTTAATTAAAAAAATCCCTTAGGAGAAAAAAATATCCTGTAGGAATGTAAGAATTCCCAAGGGATTTACATGAAATCCTGCAGGATTTTGAAAAATCCTATTGGAAATTTGTCAAATCCTACAGGAAATAATTTTCCCAAGGGAATTATAATTTTCCTGTAGGAAAATGTAATCCTATAGGATCTTTAAGAAATCCCAAGGGAATAAATATTCCCATGGGAAGTTTAATATTCCTATAGGAGTTAAGATCTTCAATATTTTTCCTATAGGAATTTATTCAAATTTAACTGAATTTTAGGTGCTCCTAAGGGAGAAAAAAATCCCGCAGGAATTTTGTGATTACTATTATTTTCCTGCAGGAAAAAATCATTATGGGTATTTTTTTACTATTCATGTAAACTCTATTATAATATCATAATCCCAAAATGTTGTTAAAGTTGCAGTTACTGTGCATGACCATAATCAAGACTTAATTTTATTTTTCCACAAATTGTTTCATTGAGAGATAGTCAATTTAAAAAGGATATATGTTGCAATGTTGTTTCTTGTCAAAAAATCTTTAGAAATGTAGATAGACTTGTTTTATACCTCAAAACTTGAGAATTTTCAATCATATTACCTATCAAAGCAAAATCAAAATCTATCGCTGCATGTCATACTCTATTATTTGATTTTAATAAAATACAGTGGAAAAATGAGTCGCTTTAGGTCACATACACTGTACCTTGTTCTTTTGGATTTCTTTACTATTATTGATCGTGTGGTATTCTATACGATATCCTTTAGATTACTAAAATAATTCACTTGAATCTTTCATCCTCAAACCTGTCTCTCATTGCTGTTGTGTTTTTTTAACCCGATCTTCAACTTAAATCATCACGATGAGACTAAAGATTGTTTGTCTGACGGTGCAGTTGTAAAAACAGGAAATCATTTTCAGCCGGTAAATGATTGTTCTGCAACCTTGCTTTTTCCGGATAAAAATTTGTTCATTGGGAGACACAATAATTCCTTTACCAAAAAAAAGGTTATCTAGCATTGAGGGGGTAAAGCAGGGCATATAATAGCTATGATTCCTTTGGTATTATTTTCATCAGCAAAATTATGTAAGTGTGTAATGGGGGGGGGGCTGTAGGCAACTCAATATTTTCTGGAATGTGTTATGCTGTTCACACCTTTTATTGCTAGTATGCTTACTAAACATTCATTCAATTTTATTACTTAAATATCAGCTACTGGTCTTTTTTACCAAAATATTATAACTTCATACTCACTGGTGGATTTAAGGGGGGGGGGCCCCCCCCCCCCCCATAAAATTTTCAGTTAACGTAAATCAGAGTTTCGTCTAGAAAATGTAAATTTGTCGATCTGACTGTCATTTTCAAGACGAGTGACCAGGTAAAAGTTGTAGGAACAGGTCCATTCCTAAGGAACTGCTTGGTAGACCTCATTTTTACCCTACAAAATCTCTAGAACCCCCTGGGCCCCCACCAGCGCTTAGCCCTGAACCCACTGGGGGCCACTAGACCCCTTGCCTACTTATGGCGCCTCCTGTAATTCTCGGTTCCTCGCCTGATACTTTCTGAGTTTCAAGAGAGGTTAAACCTTGCAATGACTATGATACCATTATGTCACATATGTGCAATATTTTCAAATATCACCATTAATTCACCAATGGTTTTGGCAAAGAGCACCCATTTATATGGAACCCCTTTTTACTGAAAGTGAAATAAATGGTGAAAATAGTATGATTTATCTCTATTTATTAGTTTACTTCATTGTGTTATTTAGTACATGTAATACAATAATATAATATAATAATAATATATAATAATTTATGTGTCCATCAGAAAGTCCATTAAATATACATCAAGATGGAATCTTCCTCATGGGCAGGCTTCACCACTTCATGTCTATTTATTAGTTTACTTTCAGTTTCATTTACATATAATACAATAAGTGTCCATCAGAAAATCCACTGAATACACATTACGCTGGGATCTTCCTCACGTGGGCAGGCTTCACCACTTCAACAAAGTTGTCTTCAGCATACCTCACCCTGTAACCTGTTTAATAAATAAATAATATATTTAGGAAAATAAAAAAAAATGAAGGACTTTACAACAAGTTTGAGAAAGAGAAATATATATATTGATTACAGAGAATTATAAACTTATATTGTACAAGATAATTAAGTATTTTGTTAAAAAAATATTGGACGAGTAACCATTAAACAAATGAGTTTCTAAATAACATTATCTAAAACTATTCAGTGCATTATTACTTAAGACAAAGGTATATGTATATAGAAAAATGGTTTGTCAAGAAGTTATGTTTTTTTTCTCAGATTTCATTTTATAAAAAAAAATACCTTCTGGCTTCTTCCTTTTCCCCAACACATTGGCTCGGTACCATGTCTTCTCCGGGAAGTAGTATGCCTCCACTGCATCTCCTTTACTAAATGTGACCTTAAACATAAAAAAGCCATTGATATTTCTTCCATTTAAAACCTTTTTGTCTTGATTTGATTGTGATGAAAAATATTAAATATCATTTTCACCATTATTGTCATATTATTCAAAATTATTTCTTCACTAGGTGATCTAACTTTTTTTTTTGATTTGTTCACATTCGACTCAATTAATAAAATCTGTAAAGTTTTTTTTTTATTTTATGCCATATAATATAAACCGGTATAAAAACCTTTGAACTTTCTATCAGCATTGAATGTTTCTATCTTAATTTTTGAACATTAAAAAAAGATTATCAAATAGGATAAATAAAATTTAGCTAAAATTAAAAGGAATTCATGCTTACAACAGATTCTGTAGAAATATCTTCTTCCTGCATTCTTTCAAGTACAACCCAAGCATTCTGCAACTAAATATAAATGATAATTAATTTGATGAATTTGATAATTAATACAATAACTTCAAACTTCCGAATAAATTATCAAATACTTTTACTAGTTCTTATCAAGTTACATATACAAAACTTTTTTGATTATCAAAATGCAATACATGTATATCATAAGTTTTAAAGGCAGAACAGCAAGAGGATATCTCGTCAGAGTATGTCATTTACCTCTGATTCTTTTCTTTGTACAGCAGTCTGAAAAAAAATCAACAATTATGTAGAGATTGTAGCAATGATATACACTAAACATTCACATCTCAAAAGTTAGAATACATTACCATAAAATTGATTTAAAAATTGTTGTGATACATAATGTTTTGCTGAAATATCTTTTGAAAGTATAATAAATACTCGTGTTTGACAAGTAAGATGTAAATGTATATCCACTAAACCTTCAGGGGAAATCAAAATGGTTACCAATGTTTTCACTATTTAAAATAAAATCTATTGGGTGCCACTATACCTCTTTTCTTCTTTTGTCTTTGTTCTGACCCCTGGTCTGCTGAGTTTCCAAGGCTATCTATAAAATTTATCATAGAGATCATTTATTACACATTTTAAAGTAATATACTATTTAATTCTGAACCCAATTTCAATTACCTTTTCCATTTTAAAATTTAAAATGATTTGATATTCTTTTTAAAACTTATTATTTACCACTGGATTTTCCTCCTCCTGTTCGACTTCTTCACCTGCCCCGTCAAAGGTAAATGGATCCTATAAATCAAAACATTATATTAATATGTGCTTTAGTGTCCCAAAATTGTTTTGATACACATTCTTCATAATCAATCTATGAAATTCGTACCATTTCATCTTGTCCGCTGCCTAATTTCTGCCTCATCTCCTCCAGCTGGTCCTTCAGTTTGGCATTCTCGTCTTTCAGTCTGCGATTTTCTCTCTATCAAAAAACAACAAATTTGTCAAAACATGTTTTTTTTAAATATCTCCATTATTTTTTTCATATTCATACATAAAGAAAAAAATACTTATTTTGTTTTATATTTTGTTCTGCTAATTACAATATAATGTATTCCAGTTCTCAAATTACAAATACAGTTATTATTTATCATACTTATCATTTTCTTAATACCTTCATTTCCTGCATACTCTCTTCATTACTTCTTGTTTTCTGCAATATAAGTAATCATCAGTGAACATGCCATCATTGAATATGTATTAAAAATATACATGGTGTCACCTGCAGAGCTGCACTTAGGGATTACTGACTGACCCATTGTCTGTCTACCAGTTGAATGTCTGTCTATCTGTCCACTAACTGTCCATCTGTTACACCTTGTATCTCAAGAACTGTAAGAGATATGGACTTAATATTCTGTAAATTTATTGCTTTGTACTATGGCATCTGTAAATTGTCATGGTTACCGACCTGATGAACCTTGACTTTGTCCTTTGACTTGCATGACTTAAAAGTTAAAAATACTAATATACAGCATATTTGTGACATATGAAAGGGTAATTCTGTGCACTGATCATGATACTTTATGAAGTACCAGCATTAGAATTCACTTGACCTACTTTACTAAGAATGCCCCGAACAATTCAATTTAGCTGAAGTCTTTTTAGTTTCGAGTAGTGGGTGTTTATAATTAAACTTTATCATGTTTATGAGTGGATAATACTGTTCTTGAAGCGTGTATGATATTCAGTTACCACATAAGCTGATTAGATATTATGAAAAGCATGAAAGAATGCTTAAATTCTTATGTTAAAATTCTTTCAATGGTATTCATACATTTTCTACATTGTAGATAAAGCTGACATTCCTGATGGTGGGCCACACCCACGAAGACATCGATCAGATGTTCAGCTGCATCAGCAGGGAGGCCCACACACAGAAGATCATTACGCTGACTCATCTTCATGAGATGGTGGAGAAAAGCTTCTGCCCAAAACCAGAGGTCCAGCACCTAGACAATCTCTGGGATTTCAGGGGGATGACATCCATTGAGAGAAGTCTACGGGGAATAAAGGAGCCTCATGTCTTCAAGATTTCCAAGAAGTCCGGGAGAGTGATGCTGTCATACAAAGACTGGCCCATTTCTCAAGAAGTTTATCGACACTTCGACCTTCATGATTTGGTGCCAGGATTTGCTGATGGGCCAGATGTGGTCGAGTCAAATTTCATGAAGATCACCAGCATCACCGAAGACATGAGGCGGGATCTCCCTAGGTGGGCAGAGACCGGAAGGTTCACAGCTTCAGAGGTGGACTGGTGGACCTCGTATCTGACATCCATGCAGAAGAAGAGGGAGGACCGCCCCTTGCCAATCGCCCCATCTACCCTGCCAAGGTACAGTGCCCTGCCTAGAACAGAGTCCGTGTTGGAGACAAATCTCCATGGAGCCATCAACCGACACATGGAGAGGCTTCAACGATCTAGCAGGGTACAGGTCAGTGGTAGGGGAGTCCAACATTCCTAGGCCAAATTGTGATA